ATCCACCGCCACCAGCTCGATTTCCGTTGGTGCCGTATCGATTCCAGGCGCCGTTTTTTCTTCTTCTTTTTCGTCGCCGCGACAACTGGTCCACCCACGAGGTTTCGGTCTCGCATTTATCCCGTCGCGTGTCGAACGTTTCTAACGAGCCCTGCTGCTGCGTGTCGCGCGAACACAACCGACGAAACCGCTGCTACGCGACCGCGTTCCGACATCATCGCGAGCCCTGACGATCCTCGTCCCCGGCAAGGACGATCGACGGACCAGCCTTCGCGAAGCCGCAAGCCTCCGCTCCTCGCCCTTGCATTCTCCGCTCGAACCTTTCACGCTCTTCGCCTCTCAACGCTTCGCCGGTTCTGCCTCGAATGGGTGCGTTACGGGCCTCGGACGGGGGCTACGATGTGTCTGCAATTCCAACGAAATTCAAAGCGTTAGGCATATCAAATTCGTCAAACAACGTCAATTTCGCATGCACTCCATATACGAATGCAATCTTGTGAAAAGCGTAATCAAACGGGGTAATAAAAAATTTATTCACGAGCAGTAACAAATTTATTTTATTTACACGTTTACATATTCGAATGAAAATTCTGACAAAATGATATAAGATAAAATTATTCACGTTCCTAACTACGTTATGCAATGGTATCAAATATCAAGAATGTGCACAGATAGTCACGGTTTTCGAATCTTTACATTTTCATACACTTTCTATTATTTCTTATCATACATGCAGAAGAAAAATGATTTTCTAAAGGTTTGTGATAATAAGTGATTTGCTCAGTGCGTTAGATCTCAAATTATGGATTAAAATCGACGAAGAACAATAAATAATTATCGTAACAAAGACAAGTAGCACGCGACAACACGGAACGTTCCAATTATAAACAAGAGGAGATGGACTAGGAGATAAAGAGGAACAGCCTCGCGCAGCATGCACTGTCTTATTCTGGTCTATGGACTCATGCTTCCTACAACTTCCTAAAATACGAGCCCCGAGGAAATAGTTCACGAACGGATCTCGAGTGATTCGTTTCGTTTCGCGTCTCTACCCTATTCTCTCCCTCCTTCTCTTTCTTTCCGCTTTGTCTCCCGCCTTGCGAGCTCGCTTTGTACCCGACCGCGCACAATGTAATGAACCAATGTTCCAACGCACGTAGACCCTAACCCAGGCTACCGTACACTCGCGTACATATATACACCGGTCAAAAATGAAAATGTTGTTCTGCGGAACACGCTCTCACTCGAGATTTCGAGTGGTCCTCCGGCACGATGATCTCGAAACGCGAACAGTTTATTATTTACGGAGCTATTGCGACCTATGCCTTGCAGTGGCGTAAATAATCGTATTTTGTGTGGAGCTTTATTGCTTTTATAACGTATGGCTATATAGGGAGCGTGAGGGAATATTTGATATGGTAATATAATACGTGGCGATTTAAGGGATATGGTATATAGGGAACGCAGCGATTTAGGGGACATGGCGATATAGGAGATATGGTGATATCGAGTACATGGCATATTGCAATATATGACGCGAGTGATATATTGCATGTCATAACACAGGAAACGCGATGATATAGGACACGTGGCAATATATGATGTAATATACACTGCATGCAACAATATGACATGTGGTAATGTAGAATACTTGAGGATTTACAGAATTGCAATATATGACATGTGACGATATACGGCGCATGGTAATGTAGGATATGTGGCGATGTAGGAAGCACATCAAGATAGCGATATAGTGCAAGTCAATATACTCAATACGTAGATATATGAGAAACACTGCAATATAACATGTGGCGATATATAACACATGACAATATTTTACACATGGCAGTACAACGCAATAATACCAAACAGCAATATAGCACGTAATTATAGAGGCTGCGTGACAATATAACGTAACGTTATTCGGGCGTTTAGCGACATACGACTGCAATATAGCCCGTAACGATCTAATGCACGACGACATAACACATATCGATCTAACGCGTAATGATTTAACGCGTGACGATATAACGCTTAACGATTTTACCCTAACGATTCATCTCGTAGCAATTTAACGCATGACCGTATAACGCTTGGCAATATATCGCGCGAGAAAAATTCTAGTTACGCCAATGCTTACACGTGGCCCGTTGACTGCGTCGCCGAACACGCCAGCGAGAAGTAATTAATCGAACTGCACGAGCGCCGATAGCCACGATATTCGCGATGCGAAACAACGATAACGAGGCGATTAATATCGAGCCCGATAAACTCGAGACGGTCTGGGAGGGTCACGATTCCGCGGAAGGCGAGATTATCCCCGATATCGAAATTTTTACGTTTAATCGCTTCGAGACAAAGAACGGAACGGGCTAATTTGCATGCGATTAATGCTACTTTAATATTCGTTTCACGGCGACCAGTTCAAAATAGTATCCGTGTTCGTGCATTCTCCGGGACAGGAATAGACCGTGTTACTATTTCAGTGACGTTCGGAATAATTGTAACGCGTACCGCATGTTTACCAGTTTCTTCGTTTATCGCGAAAATGTTCGGGCTGCTGGTTAAGTTTCAAGCGGTCTATGAGAATAACCGTTTTACCAGGAATCCGATTTCTTCTACCTCGTTTGTTTATAGATTCTGCTAACGCTTCGGTTACGATTCGAA